GGTGAGAGCGTAGCTGGAAAAGCACACACTTTGTGTCTTATTGGGACTAAGCCTTTTGAAGAGATAAAGAAAGAGGAGATGCTGTGATAGTGTGCACTTGTGAGAGCTCCCAGACATCACTACAAAACGCTGAACCGCCAAGCCTCACGGTTGACAGATGTCCTGAGACCGTCCTTTGCCGCTGCTGCGTCTCTTCCTTCACCGCGCGATGGGCCTCTTGGGGGCACCCTTTGAGCCTAGGCCACAAATAAATGATCCCAGTATGGGGACTGGGTTGCCTTCTGCGGACCCGATCCAGGAATCGTATGTTCGATAGCAGCGCTTCGCGCCACCACATAAACTGCGATTTTTCACCAGCCAGAGAAGCCAAAAACAGCACCAGTCAAAGTTCATGCTTACTTGTACCTCTTGATTCAATTTATCTTATGCGTTGTTTTCAGCTCTATGTCTACTGGCACTGGTACTGGCACGTGGCAAGCCTCTGGGGATCGGCCGTGAAAGTACGTCTGGGCCAAGTCGTTCGCAATGCCAACAATCGCTCCAGAAGGGACAAACCGAGGATTCCGAGGGAAGATATGAGTTTTTTGCAGCCGCTTGATGTCGACAAACTGCACGATTCAACGGTCATTCCGAATGGTTCCACGGTGAAGTCGACGAGGAGAGGTACTTTGAGTCGGAATGACACCAACGTGTCGCAAGTTTTCGAGGAAGTTGAAGCAAAGATGAACGGCAAACTGGTCAATGGCGCTTTGAAGAACGCAGTTACGCAGCCGCCGACAAAAAAGTCGGAGGCACTGCTGGAAGTGCCGGCAACGTCAAAGATGGTCCGTGCCAGATATCCACAGGAACCGCCGGTGTTACGGGCAATGGCAAAACGCGAGAAGGACGAGACGGCCACGAAGCCGAATGGAGCAGCGAAACGAGCCATGTACAGGCAGAGGCGACCCAGCAGGGAGCTGTCCACAGAAAGGGAACCGCCTCAGACGCAGGCCAAGCGACGACCGATTCCCATCGTGGCGTCTGAAGCCGAAGAGGCCAGCGCAGCTCTGTCAAATTTAACGCAGGAACCACAACGGCTTCAACCGAATGGCGGCATACCAAACCAGAATACGTCAGAGCGCCGACGTTCCACCGTAACAATCAACTCCGATCCTTTAATCATTCCACCGACGACAAATTCGGAGGAAGGCGCAACGCCGAGCCCTCCCCCGCCGCCGATCTACGCAACGAGGTTGACGGAGGATGCCTACGAGAATCGAATGCTCAGGGTCCAGGAAAAGAAGCGGCACCCTCCCAAGCCCAAAAACAAGCCGCACAAAGGGACACCACGACGGCGTTTACCAAGGACGCCGAGTGGGACGCCAGCTGGGGAGATCCCACGACCAAAATTCTACTTGCCAAATTCCGAATTGTAGTAATTGCAATGGATAGGCATAGGCTACTTGACCAAACATTGTGATACGAGTTGAGCTTCCTTTAAATTGACGCTCTTCCTTTCTCACAGTCATACTAGCATGTTACAAACCACACAATATTAGAGGTGTGATCAAGGACCAAAGTTCGTGTCTCTTCTTCCCTAACACACTGTTGTTGAAACCGAACTCTCTCTATCTGTGGTAAGACGTAAGTCGTATCCATGCTATGACAACCTGGGATGGAGCAGACTGGGTGCTAGTACCATTTTCGTCGAGCTTTGAGCACGGATCATTTATTTTAGAGACCTTGCCTTACGCATTAGCATTTCCTTTCCTCTAGGTTCGCTAGAAATGAAACGCTCAGCATGCACTGGATCGTGATTCGCCATTGACTCTTTTACCACAAGCAAATCCTGTTGTTTTCGGAGAATTTTCGCAGCTGCTGTTGAGCTTGGTTGGTTCACTAGGACAGAAAGCGACTCTTTCGCGTTCCGCGTGCGAAATAGTTTTCGCTGCGAAAACTTCAGGTTCTCTGATTTTTCGCTGAGGGAACCTCGGGTCAGACTCACACTGTTTATCATGAATGGATGGTGTTAAAATTGAGTTTATGTTAGCAGAACTCAAGTAGGAAGGATTTGTCCGAAACCTAGTCCAAGCCTCTTGCTGAATCTTTGCACGTGCTGATTGTTGAAGTGGCAATTTTCTCAGTGGACGAAGCTTGGAGCTGAACGGCAGGAAGAAATCAATTGACTTGTAATGGGCAGACAAGGTGGGAAGGAAACATTTCCTCGCTTTAGCGTACTAGATATACTCCTTGCTTCAAGGGGGAACGTGTTGTAGTTGCAGGTTTAGTAATGCATTGGCTTTAGATAACATAGAAAATATCGAAAAAACGCGTGTGATATCAATTTTTGAGGTCGTTGATTGTGTGATGGTGATTCTGTGCGGAGTGTTTGGCTAACTGAAATCTTTTTTAAGATGGCCTAATATTTTTATTCTGACATTTCCGGCTATGCATATCCAGCATTACAAGTAGCCACTCGTGACAAATGAACACACTGTAAGCCTTCCTTGCGGATTAGCCATGCTCCTGATTGAAACATAGCGCCGACAGGATGACGCGCATGCGCGTCAGGTTTTCGCGCAGACCAGCCTCGTTTTGTTAGATTTATTTGGCATTTCCTCATATTACAAAACTGTTTGGATGCATTATCTTATTCGGAGAACAGTGCACCAATCACTAGTGGTGGTATATATATAGGAGTAATGAATATTTGAAAAATGAACAAAAGGTTGCCGAGATGGGCGCACAACAGGCTGTGGAGTCATATGTGTTGCATGGCAGCGCTTAGCGGTTGGAGGCTACTAAGATCAATAAAATGTTTTGAATTCTTTCGTCATCAATTGATTGAGCCAGTCTTGTGTGAGGACTGGCCTGTCAGTACTGTTTATACAGGGGTGGCCAAAAAAAAGAGACACTTGACTCCACATTTCAGACAGCATTAATCACACTTTGCTAAATCAAATCGACTGCCCCCAACTCAGTATTGAAGAGCACCTTCTAATCTATCTAAACCTTACATGACAGCCTTCTACACCGACGACATCAGAAGATTTTCCCACGGAAACATGGTTCGCGATACGAGCTCAACGGGGTTCGTCGAGGTACCATTACCATTACGACGTCCCTGAAATGCTGGTCAAAAGCGGTTTGCATATTCACAGTTAATGTCTCTGGGAAGAGCTATTCAACAGTGAATCCATTGAAGAAATTATGAAACAGCGGCAGATGACGTCGTATTCTGAAGACGGCGCGAGGACAGTGAAGGAGGATCCTGCTTCGGTTTACGGGGGAAACCTTTGAAAATTTCCGCCGTAAAACTTTCTTGGGCGGAAGTGGTGTAGTGACAAGTGGCGCGCTCACCACGCGAGCGGTCCGGGATCAAATCCTGGGTCGTGAGTCGCCCGGGCCAACCAAGCCTTCCATCCCTCGGGGTTAATTGGTACCAGACTTGTCTGGGAGGATAAAAAACACTGACTTGAACATCGGCTGGCCCCCGCAAGTCATTGTATAGGCCACATCGCATTCAAATGCCACTGCGAATGTACAAATGGAAGTAGAATGCGTGCCGCATCCCAAAAAGGGATTGATCAACGGCAAATGCTTTATCCTTTATCCTTTAATAACTTTCCATTAACCTCGGCACTCT